TGCATTTTTCTTATTCTCAAATTGACTGTCCTTCACAGAGCTCATATGTTCCCTTTTTGTGTACTAAACCTGATTTGGCCACACATGGCCCTTACCTACACTCTCCCTTCCCTGACAGAGCTGAGATCACATTGCCACAGGAACAGCTCCGACTTCTCTGTTTGTTGTGTACTACCACAGATGTTCAGGACAGAGAACACCTGGGACAATATCAGGTCTACTTACAGCAGAACATTCTTTATCCAGATAGATACAATCAAATTATTATCTTCTGCCACTTCCAGAGAGGAAATGGGATGCTGGGACAACTTAATTTGCCCTGAGGAACACATATTTCATCTCCTTCCTTCTTGCTGTGTATGTAAGAAATTCAGACTTTTGTTATCCTTGTTGACCTTTGTTTTGGAGAGGTCCCCAGTAGCTTGCCACAGAGAGCAAGGAGGATTTTGATGTTTAAAAAAAGGAGTAATAACTTCTAGGAGGAGAAGAAAATATATTTAGACCGATTTTACATTTTAATGGTTTTGATTGTTTTCTCTTTAGCCTGCATCTCTGTACATCCTACAGGAATTGTACAGCATGCACTGTTTAATGTGCAGAGATATTCACTCCTGCAAAAAATATCCCACCCAACACACTCATTTTGAATTAGTAATAGGAGAACATGAGAGAAAAAAGAAAAAAAAAAAGGTTCTATTTGTACAAGAAAGCATTGTGTGTACCATACAGCAATATTTTTTCTTCTGCAAGCTGGGAGAAACTGTGACTAGCTGATAACGCCACACTCATGATTACTTTGGTTAAATAGAAATGCAGGGGTTTTTTCAAAACTCGAGAGCTGGCAGCAGCACAGTAATTGCATACAGACTTTGAAGAGTTTGGGAACTATTTTTCACAGACTCAGTGTTGTTGAGGCTGGAAGGGACCTTTGGAGATCACCCAGCCCAACCCCTCTGCCAAGGCAGGGTCACCTTGAGCAGATTACACAAGGAAATGTCCAGGTGGGGTTTAAATGTCTCCAGACAAGGAGAATCCATGACTTCCCTGGGCAGCTGTTCCAGTGCTCTGGCCCATTAGCACAAGGAAATGCTTCCTCATGCTGAGTGGAAATTTTTGTGATTTAGTTTGTGGCCATTGCTCCTCATCCTGGCACTGGGCACCGCTGAAAGGAGCCTGGCACCATCCTCTTGCCACCCACCTTTGAGGTATTTATACATATTTACGAGATCCCCTCTCAGTCTTGTCTTCCATAATTTGGCTTTGTCATAATTTGATGGAGAAGAATGTCTTGGATCACCCATTCTACAAGAATAAGTGCTCTCAGGAAAACTGAGGATGGAAAAGGCTGGGAATGATGAGCTATTCCAGTGCTGAATGGACGCTAAGAAACAATTTCAGTCGTGAGTCTTCCTGATAACCTCGATACATAAGGAAGCACATAGAATGGAAGCAATTTGTCTTCCTGTCTCTCCCTCCTACCTTTCCCCCAGCTTCTTGGGATATATTGGACTATAAGCAAAATTAGTTTAGAGGCTGTTACTGCACAGAAGCAAAGCCAAGGTAACAGTGACCTCCACCCCGACCAGCATCAGCGTTCCAAGACTCTCTGTTTCAGCACATCTGCATAAAATCATCACCTGTTAGTCAGGAAAGTAACGCTGCCTCTACTCGGCTGTGATACAGTTTGAAATTATGGAAATGAACCGCGAATTTCCCCTGGCCGCGCTGGGGTTTGCGGCCTGGCTGCCACGGTCCGTGGCTCGCCGCGTACGAGCACCGCATCCGCAGGGAGACAAGAGCATCGCACCCGCAGGGAGACAGGGCCGCCGCAGTGCCCGTCAGGAGCCCGGGGAGCGCCGGCAGCCACAGGGAAGCGCCTGTGCCCCCTCAGGAAGCGGGAACACGGCGGGGATTGGGACGGGCTGGAGCTGTCCCATGCAGGGGCTCCGCGGCGCCATCGCAGCGTTCCTCTGCAGGGGAGAGAAAACGCTCCTCATGGCGGCTCGTTGGTCTAGGGGTATGATTCTCGCTTAGGGTGCGAGAGGTCCCGGGTTCAAATCCCGGACGAGCCCAGCTTATTTTGTTTTCCTCCTCCGCAGCGGCGGCTCCCGCACACAGCGAAGCGACACGGACGGGACTGACAACGAGACCCACTCGTTCCTTTTCAGCGCAACCAGAAGCGTTAAGAACTCACCAAGGACCGGCCGCTCGTCTTCGTCTCGCACCGGGCGTCGCTACTCCCGTTTTTCCCAGGCAGATCCCCGCCTTCCCCCTCACCAAGACAGCGCTGCGGCGCCGCTCCTCGCCCTTCCGAGCGGCTCATTCTCGGCACACCGTGCCGGCTCCGGCGCCATCCCTGCGTCCCCGGTCCCGCTGCGGGCGGGCCTGAGGCGCAAAAGCGCAGCAGGGCCCCGCGGGGCTGCAAAATAGGGAGCGCTGCGGCGCCCCCTTCCCAGCGGGCTCGTCCGGGATTTGAACCCGGGACCTCTCGCACCCGAAGCGAGAATCATACCCCTAGACCAACGAGCCGCTCTGTAGGAACTTTCCCAGCTCAGCAGTTCAGTGCCGTCCCGCCTCCTCCCGCCCCGGCCATTCGTGTCAATGTCTGTGCGGGTCTGTCCTTGCCGACCACCACCAGCGGCTTTGCCCAGCGCTCCGGAACACATCGCTGCTCTCCCGCACTGCGGGGGCTGTGGCCATTTCTCTCCGCTCCCCGCCTCCGTCTCCTTTCCCGGGGTAATCCCTGGCATCGTCCTTCCCCCGACCCTACGGCTCCGCTCGTTAGCGATGGCTCCGCGTCCCCGCGGGAGGAGCAACGGTCCCCGCGGTGCTCCGCTGCTTTCCCCCGCGCAGACCTCGCTCCTGCGCTCATCCGAGGGGCGCAGGAACAGCCCAGCCTTCCCATTCCCATTTCCACTGCCATCCCCACTCGGGCTCCGCGCGCACGGTGGCGCTGGAAGCCGGGCGAGCTCGTTCCGGGGGGATGGGGGGAATGGGACATCCCACACACCACCCCCCCGCCCCAGGGGCTTTGGTTCGTGCCGGGCAGCGCCGCGCTGCGCCCCCTGGCGGTGCGGAGCGGTCGCACCGGTCCCGCCGCGTGTCCCGGGAGCGCTCGGACCGTCCCGGGCCGATCCACGGGCGGGACAGGTGCCCACGGGAGCCACCACAGGCATCGCCTTGGGGTTCTGAGCCCACGGCACCCCCCTGGTTTGAATCCCGCTTGTCCCTGATGCGCTCTGTCCTGCTAATGCTTCCTGACATCCTCATGTTTCCACGCCTCTGCATCCCAGACTTTTTTCAAGAAGTCCTCCCTGTTCCTCAGTAGTTGCTCTCTCATATCAAATTTAAATTTTGAAGTCCTAATGCCAGTGGAAATCCGGAAATCTCACCCTTTTTTTTTTTTTTTGCCTGCTGCTACCAGTTCTGTCCGTTCTTCCTCGGGCTTCTTCATCTCTCCAGGAGGAAACAAAACACAAAGATTTTTGTTTTGCTTTGGCTTTATTCCACCATTTATTTATTCTGTTTTCTCCCCCATATTTCCATTCCCGTGCTCGGGACACACATACACGTTCTCTACACAGGCACCCATATATCTGCATGTACAGTAAGGCACAACCACTCACACCCAGATGGGACATTGCTGAGTGAAGAAACAGGGGGCAGCCAATGACTGCAGCCTGCCCTGCAATACAAGCTAGAGCAAACAGATTAAAGTGGATTCAAAGGCAACAGTGCTCCACAGCATGGCTCAAAAGGGTGTGGAGATCGTGTTTGCCAACGAGCCCATGGTAATTCAGGAGGGCAAGTGCTGCTGGTGTTCCATGTGGCCAACACAGCTTCAGGCACTGCTGTCAGGAAACTGGTCAAGTGAGGGTCTGACATCCACCCTCCCCCAAATACTCTCCAGATTAAAATCGTAGTGACTGCTAGCCCATGACTTTTAGTAGCCCAGGAGTGAATGCAAATCTAGCACAGTGCATAAGTATTTTGGAGGGACTGGTTGCCTGAGCTTGGCCAATTCAGCCTGGCAACTCCACTGGAAACTCAGCCAGCTGCACAAAATTAATTGGCCGTTTCCAGGAAGCTGGGATGCTTTCTATAGTGAGCGGCTCTTGGTGGCCACAGCCCAGAAGTTTCAACACAGACTGGATCAAGTTTGGAAGTGAGAAAGACTGATGGACAAGAAGTCCTCTAAATCTGGACTGGAGCCCAGAGCCAGATAAGACAACCTGCCCTATTGACCCACTCAGAGCATCTTTTCTTTGCATACAATCTGCTGGTTGTCATTTTCCACCACACTAAAAGCACCCCAAAGCTGAAGCACGCAGGACCTACCAGCCTACCACAGGTGGCTGTTACACAGATCAGCCCCACTTTAAAGGGATTTTATTTTTATAATTTTGTACTTATATGTTTTTATGATCAATGTTCCAGGAGTTTTCCCTATGTTCAGGGTTCACATTGACTGCCATACAGCACATATGGATAAAACATACTGTTTTAAAACCCAAAGTACTTTAAAAGAAGCTACCAAAAAGGCACCATACGTGTATGTATGTACGTAACTGATGAACTTCATCTAAGACCAATGCAGGGGAGGAGAAGAAGACATTTTGGAACAGGATGAGGAAGCAGGAGGACCGTGAGTGGTGGTGGCAGTTGGCTCCAGGACAGCAATTATCAGGTCTCTCAGTCCACAAATATCACCAAGGAATGCCAGCCAACACCTGAGTCTTGAACTCCAACGAGATTGCAAACAGTCTCTTTTTCCAGCTGTCCCAAAATACGATGGTGCAAAGCAGAGAACCAGTCACTCAGCTCTGTGATGAGTCTGGACCTCAGGGGATTTCTGC